GGAGGAGGCCTGTGGGGGAGGGAGGAGGCCTGTGGGGGAGGGAGGAGGCCAGCGGTGTGAGCAGGCCGGTGGGGTCGCTCTGGCCCAGGGTGGGATGGTATTGGCAATTCCTCCACCTCACAGTTCTCGGGCCGCGAGGACTCTTTTTAACTGGCCAACTTCCCAAGCTCTGGTCTCTAGCAGTGTCCTTTCAAGTGCTTGGGATTTCTTTCCATGGATTTCCATTAATGTGCACATTGAGGAAGAGAAAGAGTGTGTCTTCTTTCTGTGGAGTCATTTATGTAATGGAGACCATATTTCAGATGACTTTACTGAGGTAGATAAATACCACCAGAGGCTAAACCCCTTGGGAGCATCTAATAAGGGTAATGTTATCTGCGTGGGTGTGGCAACGATATCATCTTAAATACAAATGCTACTGAGAGTGGATATGAGGATGTATTAGTTAATATTTATAACCCAGTCCAGGTGCTGAGATAAATGGATCATCTAACTAGTCCTGGTTCCGCAGGCTGAAATGGTTGGAGCTTGGCCAGATCAGACGTTCAGCCCTGGGCCTTTCCCCCCAGCACTCTCTGAAGTTTAGACCTTCAAGATTTCAAAAGGAGGAGTTGGGTTGTATGTAAGGAAATACATCTTGAAACTTCTTGTTAGGTTTAACGCAAGAAAAAGACATGGCCATTAGTTTGATAACTGTGCAGAAGTGTACTCTTCCTGTGAAGAGGGCGTGTCCCGGGGGTGGAGCCCAGGCCCTGTTGCTGAATTTCCTGGGCTCCAGTGGTCACTTACCTCTCTGCTTTAATTTACATCCTTTAAAGGCTTGGACACCTGGTAGGCACTATGCCAAATGGCATATGATTTTTCTACCCAACTCCTTATTTGTTCAGAGAGCTTATTCTGTGCAGTGTGTGTAAGTGGTGTTTGCTTGCCTTTTTTCTGAGGGCTGGGGTTTACTGGGGATTGAACCAGGGTGCTTTGCCATTGAGTTATATCCTCAGTCCTGTTTATGTTTTGTTTTGAAACAGGGTCTCCTTAAGTTGGTGAGGCTGGCTTTGAACTTGCCGTCCTCCTGCCTCAGCCTCCCGACTTGCTGGGAATATAGGTGTGTGGCCCCGTGCCTGGCTAAGTGACTCTTTGCCAGTCGGCACCCTCCTCTGTTAGCTGGGATTAATCGCTCTGCCCAGCTGCAACAGGATTCCCTGGAAAACCAGTGGAGGTAACAGAATAGAAAGAAGGAAAGAGGGCCAGAAGCCACACCAGGCCAGTGCTGGGGCTGCGCTGGCTCTCGGAGCAGTACTGGAGTACATCCGACTCCTCCAAACGTTCCTCCTGCTCTGTGAGCTCCAGACTCCGGTCTGGAATCAGGATGTTTGGCTGAGCTTCTGGCAGGTTCTTCCTGCCCTCCTCCCCACACTGTTCCAGGATGGGTAGGTGCTATATCTGATCCCCTTCATTTCCTTACTGGGAGGAGGCAAGGAAAGCAGGCACTGGGAGCTGTTCTCTTGCCAAGATTACACAGAATGGAGAATTCCACAAGAGGAACATGTGGTGCTTGTGGAGGGGGGGATTCTGGGAAGTCAGAGAAATCACAGCTCTGTTAACTTGCATGAGACTTCAGATGTCTGAGGACCGGCCCTCTGGACCTGAGTTAAAGCATTTGTGCATCTCCTCGGGGTAGACACTCTCACTCTGGCCAGTCTCGAGCTACCGGGATGACATCACTGAACACAGCTGGGAAGAGAGAGATTTCATCAGGAACCATCTCCACCATGCAGCAACCACAGAGGCAGAAGTGGGAAATGTTTAGGAAGCAAGAGTCTTGAGCCTGTATTATATTTTTGTTAACACTTATTTGTGAATTCATATAATTTACTTTCTTTTTTTTTAAAGAGAGAGAGAGAAAAAAAAGTTTTTTAATGTTTATTTTTTAGTTTTCGGCGGACACAACATCTTTGTTGGTATGTGGTGCTGAGGATCGAACCCGGACCGCATGCATGCCAGGCGAGTGCACTACCGCTTGAGCCACATCCCCAGCCCAATATAATTTACTTTCCAACAATTGTTCTTTTTTTTTTTTTTTTAACAATTGGCTTTAAAATTTTAACAAGTATTCTTGTGAGTCATGAGCCTGCTCCACACAACACTACCCATGAAGTGGATTATCATAGTGCGTTCGTGCGTGCGTGCGTGCGTGCGTGCATGGTGGGGATTGAACCTAGGGCCCCGCACATCTGGCAAGGGCTCTACCACTGACCACATCCCCAGCTCAATGGTCATTATAACACGAGGGGACAGGTGTCCATACGATGCTTAGTGGAGAGACCCAGATTTTTTTTTAAACAATGTCCTTCAACAGTGCAGACCCTCGATCATAGAATAATAATAGAAATGGATCTTTATCAACATCCTGCTCACTTTTTATCTTCACAACAAATCCAAGGAAAAGGAAATGGCTTCAGGTGTGTTAGAATGTTAGGGTCTGTAAACAAGTCAGGATGGCGCCTGGCATATTGCCAGAGGGAGTGGTTTATGAGGTGGCACCAGCGAGCCATTAAGTGTGGAGATTCCTTATTGGTTGACTGCTGTATCTAGTTTATGTTAATTAGACAAGCTGTGTGGAATGTATATATACCCCTCCTGTCCTACAATAAACGGCTCCCACTCCTGCTGTATCCATGTACGCAAGTTGTTCGTCCCCCCCCCCTTATTTTGCTGCAGTAGCAGGCGCCATCCAGACTTGTTTACAGACTCTAACATTTGTCAGGCGCCATCCTGACTTGTTTACAGATTCTAACAAGGTGAGGGACTGAGGGGTGCAGAGGGAGAGTGTCGCTGGCAGGTGGAGCTGGGGCAGAGCTGGGCCCTGGGCTTCCAGGCCTCAGCTCTTCCAAAGCGGCCCTTGTCTTTGGAGCCCTGTCATTACCGCAACAGCTGCCCACCACACAAGCTGGCTGTGTTGGCCAGGCCTCGGCTGCCCACTCAGCCCCGGGGTCCCTCGTGAAGCTTGACAAATGAAGGAGGACAGAATGGAGGCTCCCAGAATGGGCAATGCCGTGGGGCTGTGATGGCTGACTCCAGATGCCTCCTCTGATCTCATCCTGTGTCCATACCTCCTGTGTGGATAGAGCTGGCCTGAGTGACCAAGGGGCCTCTCAAGCAAGTGGTAGGCACACTGGAGTTGAGCACCCAGGCAGCTCTGTGGAGAAGCCCACCAGGGGTGACCAGGCCTCTCAGGGCCACCAAGCTCATGCCAGACCACAGCAGCCTGTGAAGCTCTTGGAGCACTGCAGCCCCAGCTCACACAGGAATGGATCCTTTTGAGAACCCCCAAGCCAGACTCACTCAGCTGAGCTCTCAATCTTGACCCATAGGAACCTGGAGGACAGCCAAGGACCTACATTGCTTCACGCCTCTAAGTTTTGAGGCAACTTGTTGCACAATAGCAGATGAACGAACCTCTTTCAAGGCCCCATATGGGCTCTGGGGACCTCAAACACTGAGAGGTGCTGAGCACTTTCAGTATATTTTCTTTTCTCCTCAAAGAAATTAATTTCAAGCCAACATTTGGAGGTTTTCACAACGATTTTGGAAATGCGTTTTATTCTCAGTGTTTTCCTTAAGGACCTGTCCTCCAAATGAAGTACACTCACACGGAGCGCATCTGCAACCTCCAAGGAGCACCGGAGCTACATCGAGTGGACTTCAGGTCCCAGTAAGCCATCTTCACTGTCCCCTTTAGTCCTTCCGAGTCTTTGGCCACATGTCACCTAGCTTTTCAGAAAGCGGGGTGGGGGTAACAAAAGACTTTATTCAGGAAGGGAGGGGACTAGAGACCCTGCCAGGCGGGTGCTTGCAGTGGAAATCTTAAGCTTCTCTGCCCATCACCAGCCCGACGTCCCTAGAGACTGAGCGGCTACCCCGTCGCTGTCCCCGCCTGCCCGAGTTCGCCCTTAAACGAATCTGCAGGCGCACTCCGGGAGGGAGGGGACCTCAGAAGGGGACCTGAGCGAGCGCGGACACTCGCGCCTGCTCGGCTGTGCGCCCGGGTCCTCGGCTGCTGGGCGCGTCTGCCCACAGCTGCGCGGCGCCGGGAGCGGGCGGCGGCCGCGCGTGCAGCATGGAGTGGGAGCTCAACTTGCTGCTCTACCTGGCGCTCTTCTTCTTCCTGCTCTTCCTGCTCTTCCTCCTGCTCTTCGTGGTCATCAAGCAGCTGAAGAACTCCGTGGCCAGCACGGCCGGGACCCTCCAGCCCGGGCGCCTGTCGCTGCACCGCGAGCCCTGGGGCTTCCCGCACGAGCAGGCGGTGTGAGCCCCCGGCCGCGATCCGCCGCATCCAGGTGCGCAGGCGGCAGGTCGGGGCCGGCGTGGGTGGGCACTCCGCTGCTCCGGACGCTCGCGTGGGGGACCCCAGTGCCGGGGCGGCCAGGGTGTGAGTCCGGGCGGACAGAGAGGGCAGTCGGAAGGGCTCGGGCACCTGCCCTGCCAGCTCCTCTCCAGCCCGCTGCCCTGTCCCCGAGAGGGGGAAATGATACCCTTCAGCTCATTCACTCCCGCCGCTGCCCAGCAAGACCCGCCGGCGACCTAGGGATCCACCGGGTCGGAGGAGCCTGGGGACCGGCGCCCTGCAGCACCCCGTCATGGCCGTACAGCTCTGCGCTTCGCAGAGGGCGAGAGCGGCACTGGCCGTCGGGATGGAGACTCGGGGCCTCTGGGCGGAGGGCTTCCTTCCTGCCCTGGATCCCTACTCAGCCGGGGAGCGCCTCCCAGGGCGGGTGTAGAACCGGGGACCGCAGAGGCAGAGGGTGAGCGCGAGAGAGGCTCATTTGGAAGAAGCCTTCGGGTTGGCGGGTCTGTGAGCTTCTGGGGATGGCATCGAGGGCCGGGTAGGGCCACAGGACCAAGAGGACCGGCCGGTGCGACTGTGGCTTCTAGATCTCTAGTGGGAAGATGGTCGGCAGGATTAGACTCAGCAGTGGGCCTGGCTACTCTCCAGGCGATGCTACTGAGGAAATAACTTCGTCTTCCAGACACTTTGTCCTAGATTTAGGTCGTCAACAGCACTGAGACAGACACCGAGCGCCAAGCACCTCGGCGGCACTTACAGCCTGGAGCCCTCAAGGGGCCTGGCCATGGACCACCCAGGCTGTCTGCCAAGGGTAAGCTGGGACCACGCCACTTTCACCTTGTCCCTCGTTGTGCCTAAACTTATGAAGACCCAGGGCCTAATAAGTGGAGGGCCAGGATGCAGCAAACGGGGACCCTGGGTAAAGGGCTGTCCCTGCTCGGAACTGCTGAGCTTCTGGTGAAACCAGGCGGCCAGGCTGGCGGCTGGCTCATTTCAGGAACCCAAGTCTAGGTAGAGGATCACGGAAATGAGAGGTGTGTGGGATGCTGACCAGGTTAGCAGTCATCTCTGCTCTTTCAGAAACCAGGCAGGGGCTCCAGAAGGGAAATAAGTGATGCGGGTATGGTTTCTTTTCACTAAGAGAAGGCTTGGGTTACTGATGCTGGGGTTGTCATCACTAGTAACACTGGAAACACTTGTTACTTTTAGACACAATGAGATGTAGAGAAGCTAAAACCAGGAACATATTTAAATTTTGCCTAAGCAGATAATACAGAATTGAAGTAGAAGACAATTGTTTTGATAATTCAAAGGAAAGAAAGAAATAGTCTCACTTAGGTGAGTTGGTATTGGTCTGAGACATGCAGATGGTTTCCCATCTATTTCCCTTGTCCAAGCTCAGCTGTTCTTAAATGGAGTAAGTACTTTCTTTTCACTTTTACAACATGAGCAAATTCTCACCTCTTTGTTATGTCTTTCTCAGAGTTATAGTAAGACTTGATTTGAGTTTCCAGTTTGAATTCCCAGAATCAGCTGCACTGAATCATGTTGAGCTTTGAACAATAGCCTCTAATTGGTTGATACCTCTGCAGTGGCATTTAGTTACAGGGTTGTGTGGTTAAGATGAACACATGAATGTGGGTGTAATTAGCAATTAAGGTTGTTTATAAGGCGAGAAAACAACCATTCCACACTTCACAAATACTCCGAGGGCAAATGACTTTAACTAGTGCTTGGCTCCTGGACTTTTCAACCCTTTAATCTTCCTAGCAGGACTGCTGGAGTCTAGAAGTTTACCCCACCCGACCTCCTTCAATGGGAGACAAGAGGGAGCTCGGTGAGGAGTGTGTTGCCATCTCAGCATTGACTTGGTTTCTCTACTAGTTCTACTGAATTGAGAAGAGTGGCTGCCTTTCTGTCTTGTGTCCAGGGCCATTACATATCCTCCTGGCACACAAGTCCATTAGTTACTAAGTTCTTATTTATCCAGGTCAAAAAAGAGCATTTGTTCCTTTGCCCATGTTCTGCTTGGAGCTTAGCCGTAAACGTGGCATTACAGTTTCTCACATTAGTTCTTATAGCTGCCTGCTGCAGTTATCTCCTTCCTGGTCTTGACTTTGCTAGGGATTCTGCTTTTGAAACTTTGATGCTCCTATACAAATTGCCTTTTCTTATTCATTTTTTTTCAATCATAATTTTTCCAAGGCCCAGCATAGGACTGACCTCACCAATCAGGACTACTTTAAACCTCACAAGTTCCCGACCCAGATGCATTGCTTTGATGGCCTCACAGGTCCAGGTCCCTGGTTCCACCTCTTATGTACTTCATCCAAGGATGCCCTGGCTTTTCCCAGTTGCTATGCCAATTCTATTTTTAAAGGTGGGGTAAATATGAACTAGACATTAAAGCATTTAAAAAGTCAGGAATGTTTAAAATTTAACTGCTCGTTTTATAAGTATAACTTGATTAGGAAATGTTCCTATGTTTTGTTTTCAACAAAAGGTTTTTAGTGATTTCAGTAATGTTAGTAAGTTGAATTTCTTCCATCATAAGGAAATGAGCCATAATTCAGTAATGCAATATTAGTATTTTATTTCAAGTGTTCAAATTTCATTATTTCTAAATTTCAGTGGTTCAAAATGACTTCCAATCTTATTAGGACATCCGGATTGTTTTCTTCATTTCCAAACCTGTAAGTGAAGTGGATCCACAATTCTGCTTGGAAAGATAACCCATTCAAGTTGGATGAGAATGACATTACATCCACACCTGCAAAACCTAAAATGTCTAATAAAGCACATTCCTGAGCCCAAACTTCAATTTTAGGGCACAGCTGTAGATGCAGGATTGATGCCATCTGGTGTGATTCTGCAGCATAAGATAAATCTACCCGAGTGTGCCGTGCACTGGCTTTTCTGGGAATGACAAGATGCCAGGATTTGTTTTTGGTTCACTTGCAGGGGTGGAAAGTTGGAACTAGGTAAGTAAAAAATACGCGATTCCCTATTTTTGACTTGACATTCCACGTTCCCAATTTTGTCTGTCATTTCAAAATAAGTGCACTAGAATCGAGTTTTAAATGTTTAAAAGTTTTAAGCATTGTAATGGTCAAAACCTTTTGGATAGTGGGAAACACTGACTTTTTGTAAGTCATACTGGTCTCTGACTTTGAGAACACTGAAGACACTAATGCAGTCATAGGAAGTATCTGCAGAGTTCTGTGCTTTGTTTCAGTGTTTACAGCTAGTCTGTGGTACTTGTGCTTATTTAAGCTAAATTCATAGTCAAAACTCTAGGGTCATTAGCTGTAACTGCTGATGTCTGTGTCGCGTTCAAGAGAAAGTTAAGAATTGAGTTGTAGATCTTTGGTGTCCATGTTTTGTTGTTTGTTTGAATCAGAGAAACAAATTCCTCAATTCTCCATTGCTTATTTTGTCCACACAAAATTTCAAAACAGTGTGGATTCAATACAGATCTGATGACCTGAGAAGTAAGCATGTTACCCTGCATAGGTAAGCCAAGGGCAGAACCATGTTTGAAGAGTGATCACAAGAGGATAAGCACACAGGAAAAGTTTCCTTATGGATTAGGCTAAAAATCCATCTCCTCAGCTGCTTCATTAAAGGAGTCTGACCATTTCTGCTGTCCTCTCTTTATAGGGAGATCCCAAGACGAGGCTGACTTGAAGCTGGGAGTCCTTCTACGCGGCCTGTGTCTTACTGTTGTGCCTGTGAAGTCACTTGGACTTACCGTGTCGATCCTTCAGACGGGATGTCTTTTCTTTCAGATGGAACTGTCCCTTGGATGGCTGTCTCCATAGCAGAGTAGGAAGTTGGCAAACAGTGCCTCACTTAGGGCTTTGTTCTTTTCTCCTGGAACTCACACTGATGTGCGTTGGAGGTGGGTGACTACTGGTGTTGGCTCCCAGCTCACAGAAAGTCAGGCTTCAGGTGGCGCCTTTGGCTTTTTCCTGCAGCTCCCCACCCAGAAGGGGAAGCCCAAAGGGGCAGCTGGGCGTGCAGTCTGAATCCACTTCCTTTTGAAGGGCTTTCTCAGATGCTCAACACTGGCCAGCCCCTGTTACGGGCTGCTGCCATCTGGAGATGGCCCGAGCAATGACTTCAACCAAAATCTGCATTCTCTTGGTGAAGGGTGATGGCAGCACATCTAAGTGGACAAGTGGCCATCTGTGCCCTGGTGACAAAATCCCATTGTGAAGGAGCACAAAACGGTGGCCCCTTCCCAGCGGGTAGAACTCCAGGCAGCCTCAGCTGGAGTGAGGGCTGGGAAGAGGCCAGGTGTTCCTACGGGGTGCTGGCAGGGTGGTGCGCTCTCTCAGCTGGCGGGCTTGCCCGTGTGGGCATCTTCTGGCGGACGTGGTCTCTCTGTGGAGGCTGGATAGAGCACGAAGCCTTGCTCTTCTGCATTACCGTCACTGTGTCCTCCCTAACTCCTGTCAGTCGGACTTTAGTGGAATCTAGGTTTGCATATTTGGTGCCCAAAAAAGACCATCCCTTTTATGCACCAGGGAGATAATCTATGCAAAGAAAGTCTTCCTCGCTTCCTCTTGTGACTCTGCCACCAAGCTAGGAATATCCTGGGAGAATCGCTTCTCAGAGCTGCTTCCACGAGCAGCCTACATCCTGGCAGAGCAGAGAAGAATCACTTCCCACACCCAAGGCTGTCCAGAGAACTTTCCGTGATGATAGCAACGTTCCATATCTGCAGTCTCCGATATGGTAACCACTAGTCACATGTGGCTGGTACACACTTGAAGTGACTGAGTAGGTAACACTGAAATTTTACTTATGTCAATAAGGAAAACTAACCACATGGCGCCAGTGGCTCTGGTACTGGACACACAGTCCACATCCTGCACTTCCTTGTGTTGCAGGGAGGTGGGAGAGTGTGGCCAGGGCCATGCTTGGAGTCCCTTGGCCTTCATCGTCTCACCCTGCAGTGGACCTGGTTTCCCCGAGGAAGAGGAGAAGTGGTTCTTTGGAACTGAATTCAAGATGCCGACTTGATGTTGCCCACCCTCTTGGGATTCATGAATGTTTTGGGAGTAGGTCTCAGGATTGCTTTTGGTGACAAAGGGCGATAAAGAAACCACAGTGAGGTTCCCTTCGCCCTCCTAGTACCCGTTGTGTGTTCTAAGTCAGAGTGATTCCACCGTTTATTCTGATCTATTGTGCAGGTTTTTTAATTTTTGTAACATTGTGACTTTTAAATGATTATTCTGTGTATGTTTTCCAAAATACCTAGTGATTTATATTTTTTAAAAAAAGATTGTGAAATAAAATATAATACTTATATGTAACTCAGTTTGTGTGTGTCTCTCTGTGTGTGTGTGTGTGTGTGTGTGTTGGGGTGGGGGTGTTTGTTTGTTTTTGGTGATTATTACCCAAAGTTGCTGACTATTACCCAAAGAGTTAATTAGGATGAGATTAATAGGTAGAACACTTTTATTTTTATGGCATATTTCTTTTTTTTAATGGAGACGTCTGTATACCAATTACATTATTGTTATTTTGGGGGTACCAGGGATTGAACTCAGGGGCACTTGACCACTGAGCTACATCTCCAGCCTTATTTTGTATTTTATTTAGAGACAGGGTCTCACGGAGTTGCTTAGATCCTTGCTTTGGTGAGACTCATGTGGTGGCCAGCACCCCTCCAGGATTCTTTCCTGCTCAGAAGGTGATGAGCCACCTGAGAAAATTAAAGTCTAAAGTAATTAGTAAAGAAATAAGAGACAGATCCAGAAATCAGATTTAAAAGAGAAAGGAGCAGTGGTAGGTGCCAGGAGGAGCAGGATCTGAATAACTAGAAAACGGTTCCCACCGTTTACTTAAGGGAGAGTAAGTATACCAAAGGTGGGGATGAGGCTTCGGCGATGGAGTCTTGCTTCCTGGTGTCTTGCAGTCAACAGGATGACTGGCATCTTGGGAGGCCACACCCATCTCTGAGAGGCTGTGCGGCTCTGTGGTTCCAGCCGGTCACCCCATCTCCAGTGCAGTGCTGAGACTGACAGCTAGGTAGGAAGTCCCATGTCCTGGGGGTCTCAAGACAGCAGGATTGCTGCTGGGAGTTCCCAGATACCAGACTTTCCTACCCAATGGCTTCCAGGCCAGTTTGGTTCATGCACAGTTCACTGATGGCTTTTGGCAGCTGAGGCTGGCTTTGAACCTTCAATCCTCCTGCTTTAGCCTCCTGAGCCGGTAAGATTACAGGTGTGAGCCACTGCACCTGGCTAATGTTACCTTTTAAAAATATTCAATCATTCTTCCATCTAAATTTGGGTGAAGTATGAGGGTTGTGGTGATATTAGTGAATTCTTTTCTTCAGGTAAGTTTTCCCCACTGAACATCGCTTGGACCTTATTTCTCTACAAGTTTCCGATTCTGTGCTATTTGTCTTTTATTGAATTACACATATCCTTGCTATGGGCTAGACACAGTTCTTTAGCAGATATGTGCTTTGCAAATATTTCCCTCAGTTTGCAACTAGCCTATCAATTTTCTTAACAATGTTTGTAAAAGATGTACTTTTATTTTGAAGTTTGATTTGCCTACCTCTTTATTTTATGTGTATTGTTTCCTGTGTCCTAAGAGATGTTTACCTTCTCCCTAGGTAGCAAAAAATATCTTTCTATGCTTTCTTTTAAGCTATAGAAGTATATTTTTAGCTTTTACTAAGTCTGTTATTCATTTTGAATATTTTGTGACTAGTTCAAGGTAAAGACAGATTTCTAAAATACATAGATCATCCAGTGGCTCTCCCTCCCTCCCTCCCTTTCTCTCTCCCTGTCTCTCTTCCTTGGTTGTGGAAAAGGCAACCCTGTCCGCACTGGACTACTTGGTCATCTATGTCAATACCTGACAGGCCATGTAAGGGCACCTCTATTTCCAGGCTCTCTTTTCGGTCCTGCAGGCTGTATCCTGTTCCCACACTGTCTTGATTACCGAAGTTTTATAACGAGTCTTGACATTCTCTAGAAAATTTTATAAATCTCAACTTTTATAAGAAACTCCGACTCAAAGGCTGACTCTGTATGCACTGTAAGCCCTGAGAATTTCAGTTGAAAATGGTCAAATTCCATAAGAAAACCCCACCTGGCCCCCTGCTTCCTTTATTCCTTTCTTTAAACCTGAGTCCCCAGTGGGATGGCACTTGGCCAAGAGGGACACCTGTGTGCCTTCCCATTGTGAAAAATGGGGACTGTCCTCTTTTCTCTAACCTGGCAGGAGAGAGGCCGACGGTGATAGGTCTGTGTGACATTGTAGTGAATGTGCATACTGACGTTGGGGACCTGCTCTACCTGCAGACAGTTCCCGGGACAGTGAGTCTACCTGCTTTGGATCTCCTTGTGCCAACAACTGTTCACATTTGCCTGGAGTTAGACAGGGTGAGTTCAAGGTCACTGTTCCCTTTGTTACAAGTTGTGGAGAGCTGGCTTGCCCTCGGGAAAGGACGCGTGTGTCTCCCAGAAGTCACCAGTGTCTGGCTGCGTGTCTGGCTGCCTGCCATCAACGGTGCGGGAGTGGCTCATTTCTCTCTGTCCAGGGGACTCTACATTTTGGGAATCTTTTCATTTGTAAATTTCCAAGGTAAAGGGGGATGGTGGGTTGCCTTCTTGTCCTTGTTTTATGGCGGTCTGAGCTCTTTCTTTCATGAGCGGTCTGCTCACGGTCTGCTCACATCTTGCCTGGGGCATTCTTTAGTTCTTACAGGTTTTTGTTATTTTCTTTCCTTCTCTTGGAGAATTTTATTTATAAACACAAACATAATGAGGTCAAATCTTTCTCTCATTCTCTATTTCTTCTTCATGGCTACCAGGTTCTGATGTATTTTTCTAGCTTATGAAATATATATTCAGGTGTATATTTATATTTTTACCTAAACAAAGGCAAACTATAAACACATTGTTTTGTACCTTGGTTTAAAATATATAATAATAATTCTCCAGGTTTTTTTCCCAACCAATATTCACTGAAGACTTACTATGTGGCAGGCAGGAGTCTAGTTTCTTAGTCTAAGTTCCTGAGTAAGAAAGAGGGTTTGTTCCTTCCATCACCGGCTTCTGTTGAACCCATATGGCTGCTTCTTTGAAACTGTCCTATAGTATCCTATAAAAGAAGCACAATTTACTTAAAACAATTCTTCATATCTATTTAATTGTTTGCCATTACTGATAACACTATATAATCCTTTGACATGAATCTTTGATTATTATGTGCTAAAATCCTTGATGAAGAATTTCTGGGTATGTGCATTTAAAAAATTTGTTATAGAAATTTGAAACATCTATAAAAGTAGAAGAAATGATGCCACAAAATTTATCCTCATTGATTATTTAAAAAATCTTATTTATTTTTCATTTATTCTTTAAATGTGTAGATTTTATAATTTGGAGTTGAAAAAAAATCAGGTCTAAATTTTAGAGTTATAAGAAAATTAAGCAGAAAGAACAGATATTTCTCACATATCCCTTTCCCTGACCAAACACACTGCTATGATTATTAACATGGTCTGTTGTGTGTTACATTGTTAAAATTGATTTGCCAATGTTGATACATTGTTGTTAACTAAGGTTCATGTCATTGTCAGCGGGAGTGCCTCTTGGTGGTGTAGCTCTGTGCACTGACTTGTGTCCGCCCCCACTGTGTCACACAGAGAGCTTCAGATCCAGTCCTGTTCAGTGTGTATCATGAAGAGGAGCCCAAAACTCACCTGTGTCCACCTCGTAGTTGCTCCCTTCCTCTCTCCGAGCCCCTGGCAACCATGACCTGTCCACTGTCTCCATAGTATTACCTGTTTTAGTTGGGTTTTGCTTTGCTGTGATTAAAACACTCAACAAAAGCAACTTAGGAGGAAGAGCTTAGGTGGGCCCACGGGTTGCATAGGTCTCAGTCCATAGAGGGCCAAGTACCTTGTTCTGAGCCCAAGGTGAGGCGGCCCATCACTGGGGAACTTCCAGTGGAGGAAAGTTGTCACTCCTGGCAGGGTCCAGAGGGAGGGAAGGGATGGGCGGGGGTGGGGCAGGGAAGGAAGGAGGAAGGGCCCCAGGACAGATGCACCTTCTAGGTCTTCCAGCATGAGCACCTCCTCCAGCCGGCCGCCTGCCTGCAGTCACCACCCACTAGGAGGGACTGGTTAGGTGACAGCTCTCACAGTCTCACCATTTCACCTCTGAATATTCCTGAACTAACGAGATGTTGGGGTCACCTCATATCCACACCATCCCAGTGCCTTTCTGGAAGTCATGTGTGGACTCCATACACCAGCTGCCTTTTCAGACTAGCTGCTGCTTCTTAGCCACAGGCACTTAGGTTTCTTCCTTCTCTCTCTCTCTTTTTTTTTAATATTTATTTTTTAGTTGTAGTTGAACACAATACCTTTATCTTATTTTTTATTTATTTTTGTGTGGTCCTGAGGATGGAACCCAGGGCCTCACAGGAGCTAGGCAAGTGCTCAACTGCTCAGCCACAACCCCAGCCCCTCTTCCTCCTCTTTTCGTGAATGGAGAACTCATTTCATCTCCGAGTAACAGTCCACTGTCCAGATGTCCTACAATTTGTTTACTCATCTTGCTGAAGGACATCTTGGTTCTTTCCATGTTTGGACGACTTTGAATAAAGCTGCTGAACTTTCTCATGCAAGTTTTCATGGGGACGTGTTTTGGAGTTATTTGGTAAATACCGTGGAGCACGATTCTGGACCAAGTGGGAAGACTATGTTTGGTTCTGTAAGAAACTTAGGAACTGTCTTCCAAGTGGCCGTACTGTTTTGCACCCCGCCTGCAGCGACTGAGAGCTCCCAATGCTTCACCCCAACACCAGCCTCGGTGGGTGCTGTCAGAGCAGCTAGCTGACAGGTGGGTGGGGCGTTTCCTTATTGGGTAAAGGTTTGGGTCCCTGATGCCGTGGATGAGCTCCTTTTCACGAGCTCGTTTGTCACCTGTACACCTACTTTGGTGAGGCATATTCCTGCACCTTTTTCCCATTTTAAATTGGGCTGATCTTTTTAATGTGAATTTTAAGAGTTTTTGTATATTTGGATAACAGTCCTTTATCAAATAGGTGTTTTGCAAATATTTTCTTTCACCAGTACTTTTTTATTCCCTTAACAGTGTCTTTTGAAGAAGTCTTTGATTTTAATAAAGCCCAACTTTCTGTTTTTTTCTCCTGGGTTATGATTTTGGAGCTGTATCTAAAATTGACTGCCAAACTCCACGTCACCTTGATTTCTCCCTAACTATAGGACCCACCATCTGTTGTTGCGCCTGGAGACTCAGCGAAGCCAATGGTGTCATTCAGTCCAAGGGCAGAGGCCTGAGCTCCAGGGAGGGATGGTACAAATCCTGGTCCAAGGCAGGAGAATACAAGGTGAGAGGTCCCAATGCCAAGGGTGGGCAGAAGTAAAAGGAGGCAGATTCCACCTTCTTCTGCCTGTGGTCCTGTTGAGGCGATCAGGGATTGGATGAGCTGTCCACGTGGGGAAGGCCGGTCACTTAGTCGGCCAATTCAAAGGCTACACCTGCAGAAACAATGTTGGTCTGGGCATCCTGTGACCCAGTGAAGTTGACACAGGAAGTTAACCGTGGCAACAGCTATCCACAAGCCAAAGAGGCCACAGAAGATATGTCATGGATGTCACTTTGATCTGATCTCTAGCCTCTACAACTGTGAGAAAAGTTGTAGAAGTCTGCACTGGGCTCCAGGCTGAACGGTGACCAAGATAACAGACCTGGAGAGGTCACAGCCAAACCTCCCAGACAGGCCAGTTACCCACTGGAACATCCCAGGCTGTCGCTCTTAATCCCACTGCGTATGAGTTCCACACGCTGCCAGGTGTAACATGATCAGGGTGTGGTGCAATCGAGGCTTCTCTGTGTCCTAAGTTCCTGGGAGATACGTTAGTTCCTCGAGGGTAACAACCTTTTTGAAATCATTACATAGTAGTGAAATTCTTTAGGATTAGACTACTAGGTGGGGTTTCTGGGAATGCAAATTGGGCAATACAGTGGGATCATTTTTTCATGTTTCCATATGTGATTTCAAATGTATTATTTAGAAGATCATGTCATTTTGTTGTCTTTATGTTACTTGCATAGTTCTTGTTTGTCTCCTAGGGCCTTGTACTACAGATGTGAATGCACTGGAAAGTTAAATGGGCCTCAGGAATCTAAGCCAACAAAAGAGTGATTAAAAACAAACCACCAACCAACCAACAAAACACAAACCAACCATCAAAAAGCTTCATCCCAAACAAAAAGAAAGTCTTAAGTTACTGATGTCCCCAGAAAAGCATCATTCTGCCAGGTTTAATTTTTGTCTGAGTCAAAAAACAAAACAAAGCAAAATGGCATAATCTGTTGCAAGCCATCCATGGGCTGTGTGTGTGAGCTATGCGCATTGTAGCTATATGAGGGGACAGTTCTGGCGCTGCACGCTGATTGGGCTGTGGGATGCAAGTGCAACTCTCCTCTCACTGGGCCTGTGATCTCACACAGCACCTGAGATGGGTGTGATTTGCCAAGATGCCAGTCAATCTGCTGACCACAAGACGTCACAAAGCAAGACTCCACCTTTTGAAATCCCTCCCCGGCCTTATTTAGTGAAGAACATTCCATTCAAGCTCCTTTGTGTGCCCCCCTATAAAATAAAGAGATTCCAGGTGCAAGTGCTCTTTCTGGCACTGTCCAGCGTGGAGCTGACCCTTAAGGTCACAAAGCTGTCTCACCCTCGACCTGAGAAACTCATGCTCGTGTGTTGCGTGGATTCTTGGCTGTTTCTCAGCTTTATTGCTGCAATCAGCGCCTTTGAACCCAGCTCATCTCGCCAGCCCAGGCAGCTGGCAGGAACAATCTTTGAAACAGAACAAATAGAAATGCATATTTCGCATATTCCAAATACATATGTGAAATATGTTCCAGTACATATGGGTTGACCTAGTAATCTCCGTATTCACCTCCTTACCCCCACAGACAGCGTTATCTCAAAAACATATTAGTGTGTGTGGCCACAGATTTATCCAACTGTCTCCCAAATACTTCACAGTTGCTACATGTCCCCTCTAGCTGGGGACTCACACCCCAATGGCTTCTGAGGTTGGGCAGGTGGCAGAAGGCATCAGGATGTGTGTGCATGTGTGAGGTTTGGACTGTGTGTGTATACAGTTGTGTATGAAGTTGTGTGATTGTTTTCTGTGCATCTGTGTATACATGAGTGAGGTTATGTGACTGTGTGTGTCTATACAGTTGTGTATGAGGTTGTGTGATTGTACTCTATGCAGTTGTATGTATGTGTGTGCAATTGTGTGACTGTGTATACAGTTGTGTATGAAGTTGTATGATTGTCCTCTGTGCATCTGTGTGTACGTGTGTGAGGTTGTGTGTGTATATATACAGTTGTGTATGAGGTATGATTGTCGTCCACGAAGCTGTGTGTATGTGTGAGGTTGTTTGACTGGTATGTGTATACAGTTGTGTATGAGGTTG